CAAATAATATAAATAAAGTTTCAGTAAACTTTGGTTTAATGTATAATATACATATTAGGATTTTGAAAATAATAAGGAATCTGTATGTGACCACTTGTGTTCTGAGGCATTTTATGGTGAATCAATGGAAGTTTAATAACACAAATAATATAGCTCTGATGTCTTTGATACCATCTGATGAACAGAATACGTTCTCATTTGATTGGTGCGATTTTGATTGCAAAGAACATCTAAAGTAAATATATTATTAGTTCTATTAATTTATGTTTACAATAGATATATAATTTCAAATTAAATGCATTTGTATTATGTTATATATATAAAGAACTTGTTTAATTGGTGCCAAAAAATTTATTCTTCACGAAGATATGAATCGATTGGATGCAGCTAAAGCTCATTATAAAAGGTGAGTGTAAAATTCGTTAAAAATAGGATTTTTTCATTCTCTATGCCATAAAACGTAATTTTTGAAATTGATTGTTACATTAATACATTAATAATGGAGAGTTAGATGTTAATTTCTGAAATGAGTAAAGCAAGCCTATTTGTTAAAAATAGCTGTAGAGCTATATAATGTAGAGGTTATACAAATTTTGGAAATTACACGCGTTAAACGAAAAAGCGGAGAACATTGAAGCTAGTTTATTATTAAATATATATAAAATAAATAAAAGCATCATACAAAGTAAAAAACTGATGTATAGGTAATCTACATATTAAAGAAAAAGAATAAAATTGAAATAAACTTTTGACACACAAATAATGTAGATAATTAAGATGCTATGTTTCAATTGTGATATATTAAATGTGCTTATTTTACGAAAATTTTAGAGTATATATATGCGTCACGATATTCAAAACAATTGTCGTTAGTGGCATGCTGTGGCTGATGTATAAATATATCTTTTGATGACCGATGAATATCAATATTATCATGTGTAAGAAATTGTAATAAATAATATTATATACATTCGTATAAATATACTTATTTCTGTTTACACAGATTCATATATCTAAGATATCTATGTATTATATATTAAAAAAAGAAGTAGAATAAAATAATTTTAAGATGCACATTGTTAGTTATTGTATTTTTATCCAGCGATGTATTTTTATCACACGTTTACCTCTTTTTATTAATTTAAAAAATCAAACTTTTCTATTTCTCCAATTGTCCTTCTTTTTTGCAAAATTCAAAAATAAATTGAACTTTTAATCAAAATATTTTTTTAAAATTTACATTTAAAAAAAAAAATTATTTTTATTTGTAATAACATCTTTGATTTAATAAACTTGAATTATTCTGTTAAATTGTTTTTTATAGTAGTATTTTCTATGCTTTGTAAAGAAATTACATTTTTCTGCATTTTGCAAGTAATAAGCACAAGTTTTGCAGTTAGTTTTCATCTACGTTTGAACTTTGTCTTTTTAACTTTAAACTTTATTTATTCCAGCTGCTTTGCCACATAAATTAAGTCACATCAGCTTTGTAAAAACATACAATTGTTCTTTAATCAAATGTACGTCTAAAATACATTGTTGCTGTTTCACTACTTATATGCAATCAAACTTAGCTATTATATTTTCATTATCGGTTTTGCCTCAAAAGAACAATATGTTGTGGACAATGTATAAATATGTTTGCTAAATTATTAACATTTCCATGTATAAAAAATTATAATCTGTTGAGAAAAATAATTTGTGCAAGTTGCTTTTCTGTTAATCTGATTAAATTTCGCAATTTTGGTGGAAAGGTATTATTTGGTGTTAATGAGATGGCGCGAGAGAACAGTCAGCAGGTTGATGCTCTCGTGCGCTGAGAAATCCTCTTTCCGTTATGCCCTAACTAGACCGGAGGATGATCCTACTTGTGGCTCATTCGAGTGCATAGTTTGACAGACCGATCGAAATCGATTTAATGAATAAAAATATTATTGATATGGTTAATACGATTGGAAGTCAACTTTAATAGAATTTTAACCTGTCAACCTATGCACTCAGCTAAGCCACAAGTTGGATCATCCTCTGGTCTAGTTAGCGCATTATGATCGTTTCTAGCGTTTAGGACCATGTGCTGACCACTAGCGAACGAAAAGCAAGGCCTTGTGAATGAGCGAATCGCACGATAAGTACTAAAAGAATTTGATGAGAATCTTGTAAAATTTATATTGTTTAATCATATTCATATTGATTGTTTTGTTGATTATATTTTCATATTGATTATTATTTTTTTATATATAATAAAACGGTAATAACGCTCTTTATAAAATATAGAAGAATAATTATTTGTTTCATTTTAATTACTATATATAATCGTTTCTTAATTGAATAAATACATTTAGTTAATTGTGTTTTATAATACAAAAGAGTAAATTCATTGTATTTCTCAATTATTTCACTGAAAAATTGAACATAATTTTATGATATAAAAATTACACGCATGCACGCACCCATGCATATGTTTCTACACCGAGGTATGTTTGTCTATGTACATCAAATGTTTTATACAGTACAAAAAAAATTGTATTAAATGGCACAAAAAACTCATTGTATATACGAATCATAATATAAATATATATAAAGGAAGTGCCGGATTGCGCTCTCTTAACCTTCGAGAATATCATTATTTCGGCTTTGCGTCATTTCCTGTGCAGGATGACTTTTGGGCTTATTCACGTTTTTAACTTCGCAGACGAAGTATTGTGATATTTAACGTTTCATCGAATAGTGTAACTAAAAATTAGATTAATTTTATTTGTTTTTAGCAATTAAAAGTTACTCTTAAACAATTTTTTGTTACTTTATTATTCTTTATCTGCCACATATCTCTGCCTTCACTTAGTACATTTTTTACAAAATATTATATTGTTTTCACCGGCGTTGTGCTTAAGCATGCAGAACACAGAAGATACATTTATACCAGCTTTCTATGCAAATCGATCAGTGTTCATCACTGGCGGATCCGGCTTTCTTGGCAAATGCTTAATAGAAAAACTGTTACGATCATGCATTGATATTGATAAGATATTTCTGCTAATGCGGCCGAAAAAAGGATTAAGTGTCAACGATAGACTCAAGAAAATATTAAATAATAAGGTAAATTGAAAAAATATAAATATACGCATGTTTTTACATATAAAGAATAAATAATTATTTATAGAGGCAATTTGTCAATCTGTAAATACAGGAAGATTTCAAACTTTACTTACATATAAGAAAAAAGAAAACAGTAAAAGATAAAACAATTCTTTAAATAAAAATAATATTGTAAAAAATTTGTGTTATATTATTTTTTCAAAATAATAAAATAATTATTTCTTACTTCATTTTTTACTATATATACAGGGTGTCCCGTAAAGACCGTAACAACGCTTAGGAGTATATTCCTGAGATAATTCTGATCAAAAAATCTTAATACCAAAATATTCAGGGTGTAATGGTTTTTGAATTAGAAGCATTTAAAGTTAGCGAATAAAATAGCCTGAAATTCGCGCGCTCAGGTGTGTACAACGTACAGTGATAAAAGCGAAATTGATTATCGCTCCCCTGTTGTCAGTATTAATATTTGGAAAATAAATTTGCTAATACATATTAACATAAATATTGTTTACGCAATTAAAATTACTCATTATTGAGTAATGATAAAGGTTATTTTATTCGCTAACTTTAAATGCTTCTAATTCAAAAACCATTACACCCTGAGTATTTTGGTATTAAGATTTTTTGCTTAGAATTATCTCAGGAATATACTCCTAAGCGTTGTTACAGTCTTTACGGGACACCCTGTATATATATCAAAATAAGTAAAAGTGTTATTTTTTCTTTCAATCAGAATTTTTATTTTGTTTTTTTACATATTTTGAAAATTGTCCTTCTTTTTGAACTGGAAATTATCCAAAATAGCAAGTAATTATAATTATAAAGGCAATAGATTATAACACTTTATAAATATTCACATTTATTTTAGCTTTTCGACGTATTACGAAGCGAGAGACCAAGTAGTTTTGATAAAATCATACTTGTATCCGGAAATGTTGCACTTGAAGGGTTAGGATTACTTGATGAAGACAAAAAAATGTTAACTGAACATGTATCTATCATCTTTCATGTCGCTGCCAGTGTCAGATTTGATGAAAGCCTCAAAGACGCAATTTTCAATAACACGAGATCAACACGCGATGTATGCATTTTAGCTAAAGATATGAAAAAATTAGTGGTAAGTATTAGTATATATATATAATATATATATATATATATATATATTATATATATATATATATATATATATATGTATAAATTATTAAAACATTTCTATATAATTCTGTAAAATACGATTTTTGGGGGAATTAAATTTTTAATTCTTTGTATACATATTTTAAGCTGCGACAATAACTTATAAAAAAATTTAATTAAGTTGTAGAATCAGGCTTTATTATTATTTGCGGCACTTTCTTTGACACATTATCAAAATATAAAAATAGTCAAATGTGAAATTACGAACGGTAAAAAACGGAAATTAATACCGTTTACATTGACAATTTCTCTATCTTTCTGCTATATACATTTTATTATATCATTTACATATTGCGTGATTTAAGGCTCTCGTGCATGTAAGTTCAACTTACACTCAAACAGACAAGCCCACTGTCGACGAAATTCTGTATCCATCGGAAATTGATTGGAGGCAGACAATTAAAATCGCCGAATCCGTTGACGATTACCTTTTGAGAATATTTACATCGAAGTAAGCCGTGAACGTGGTGTAATTTCACTTCATCGCTTTCAAAATACGTTTGTTCCTATTTATAGATACTTGGGAATGATGCCAAACACCTACACATTTACGAAGAGATTGGCGGAGCAAATTATTAGCGATTTTTCCGAGACATACAAATTACCATGTGTGATCATCAGACCCTCAATAGGTACGCGTTCTTCCATGATTGTTTCATTTGCTCGGCACAATGTTTTCTGTATATTGAGATGCAATCAATGATAATGATCGATGACAATCTGTCGCACAATGTAAATAATAAGAAATATTACAATTGAAATAATAATTGTGAAAGAATAACGGTCGAGAAGTAATGATAAAGAGATGTAGCTTTTTATTTCACTTTACTTAACAAAACTTGTAACAATATATAAGATATAAAAAGTTAAAATTGTATACGCGGTATGTATAAACAATTAATTAGAAAACAAGTGAGATGCGAATTTTCTTCTTTCTTTTTACACAAGCGTCAGGCTTGCCGACCGCTTGGCGCTCATCGGTCGTACATAAAGAAAACAGATGGAACAAAACTCTTTCATTAATTAAAGCAAAATAATAAAATAATATTTTTTAGTAATATCGACGGCGGAAGAGCCCGTGCATGGGTGGATTGATAATTTTAACGGACCTATTGGATTGCTTATTGGTGGTGCAAAAGGCATTTTGAGGGTGGTATACATCGATCCTTTGGTCGCTTCCGATTTTATACCGGTGGATGTGGCTATTAAACTTACAATTGTAACTGCTTTTAAACGTGGGATCAAAACGTATGATCGATATTTACGTAATAAAATCGCGTCATTTTTTATTAGCATTTCCAGAATGCTAGAGAAAGCGTGCATTATTAGCGTGCATTGATATTCATATGTTTTAAAATATTTTTTTTTATTTTATGATACAGCATTACCGAGGACAATAAGATTCACGTTTACAATTGCTCGTCATATAATGTTAAACCTTTGAATATGCAACAACTTGTCGATTTGGGCTTCAGAATTTCGAAGAAAATCCCCTTGGAAGGGATAATTTGGACACCCCACTCTACTTTGACTAAAAATCGTTTTCTATATTATCTGATGGTGCTTTTTTTACACGTGCTCCCGGCATTATTTATAGATACAATCTTGAAATTGTGTGGTACACGGCCAATGTAAGATTTATTTTTACAAAATACGAATGAAATTTTGTGTCAAAATATAAATATATAAATATATATAATTTTCCAATTAGATTATTAAAGCTGCAGAGAAAAGTATATGTGTCCAATAGCGCCTTGTCATATTTTTTGTTAAATGAATGGAAATTTTATAATAAAAAATTGCTTGAATTATTTGACAACCTCAGCGTTGAGAATCAGAAAGAATTTGGTTACGACTACAGAAATTTCAACGAAGTAGATTATTTTAGGTAAGTGTCAAGTATGTAAATATATGCAATCAGAACACAATAAAATCGACGCTGTCATGCTTTATTTGCGTAGGGATGGCGTTATTGGTGCTAAACTTTACCTGCTTAAGGAAGACATAAATCATCTCGAAGCAGCCAAACTTCATCGTAAAAGGTGAGGATTACACGTTTATAGTATAATATACATTTTATACAATATAGTCCTTTTTGCAAAATTGTAGATTTTTTAATTGAAGTCCATTCGTTGCTTTAAAAGCACCAAGGAGTGCTTATGGAATCTTTAAATTACAAGTAAAAGACTTACTTTTTAAATATATTAATATAAAACTTTTTAAATTACACTAACGCGTCTAGAAATCTAGCGTAACACTAAATTTGAGAGAAAAAATTGGAGCAGTGAAAACTTAAAAAGTAGATAGAGAATTGAAGATAGCACTAAACGGAAACGTTCCACTGTGGTGTCGCGAGGTACACTGTTTGGTCGATCGTGACGTCGTAGTTGCAAATTAGGCCGTGGAAAGACATGGGCAATCGATGAAAATTTTTGCAAATTATACAGCGGGCAGGGGCGTATTTAACGTCGGTGCAACCGGTGCGATGCACCGACGGGCCCCGGGATCCGTGGGCCCCTGGTGCGTCGTGAACATTTATGAATTTTTATGATTTTTTTTTAATAAAAAATTATAAGGGAATAACACATTTTAAATGTGGCACTCAAATATTTTTGTATAAAAATACTCGCAATACTTGGGAACCGAAAACTGTGGGAGAACAAGAGAGAAATAAAATCTAATGATCAACTAGCGCTCGGAAAGAAGTGATTCGACTGTTTTATTTTATTTGCACCTTGTACACCAGGTCACACAAATGCCTTGACATATGAA